GGGGGGGGGGGGGAAGGGGACGTGTTAAATCCCATTGTGGGTGTCTTGGTGATACTCGCTTGAAGAGTATTGGACGTGGGGCGGTGTTATTTGAACGTGTGGAGTCTTGCCAGCACGTTCTGCAAATAAACCTGGAAAGAGTTTTGAGAATATCCGGTGTATGAACTGGTCTGTAGTGATACGTTTGTAGAAACCTGCATTACAATTTCTTCCTAGAGGGTGGTTGGAATCTTGCTGCCTAGAGAGTGGTTGTTTGCATCATAGTATTGTCTGGTAAGTAGTTGTTGGTACATATACGCGTTTCGGCGAGAAGAAGCCGGGGGACGAACCTGTGTCACGCTCTTGAAATAAACGCGTTTTCCAAAACGAGCTTTTTTGCCCATTATGTGCGTGTGGGACCTGGATTTTCATCATGTCATGATACTACCGCTAGAAACGCGAGGTGTCCAGCTGCACCGAAGGTTGAGCTGCGGGAGGAGAGGAGCATGAAAAAGCTGTATCAACCCACTGTGAGTTCGGAGTCAAGACGAAATTTTCCATGTCCGAGGGAAGGAAAATGAGTGATAAACTCCCCATCACCACGGCTACCTCGAATGCGCCCAAACCTGTCGATTACAGTGTGCTCAGCGCGCAACGAGTGTGACTTGCTCAGTTTGCAAAGGTTCATACATACTAGATAGGGCGGGGTAATTAGCCGCTTGGTAGTGACTCAATACCTTGCAGTAGTCTTATCTGCGATGCTGATGGTGCACGAATCTCGACACACAGCAGCGTGAATCGTTTGTGGTGCAGCTACGCGTGCACGAGAGGGACAGGCTGCAGGGGTGCGACGGGCGCGACGATGGTTTTTTATCCGGCCCCGTTCAAAAATTTGCAGTTTACATGCGGTTGTTTTTTTTCCGTTGATGCACATGCGCACACCCACGAAGAAACAAAATGTGAAGTCCTCCCGCTGTACGGACGCAAACACGCACATCGGGGCATCTGGAAGAGGCAAGCATGCGGCACGTACCTGGCGGCAAGCGCATCACACATCACACTGTCGAGGAGCACGACCAGCAGCGTAGACATAGGATTGTGACAAGACAGATGCCATATATTGCGTCAGGCTCACAACTTGCCCGCCACATTCGTCTCAAGCCCTCCGAATTTCCCGCCAAGTGAAAGCGAGCAGTCTACACTTTGTATCATACATCACGGGATATTACTAAATACAGTACAACGTGAACCGCAACAGAGCCGTTGATGGTCATGACTTTGATGGGAGCTTTGATTGGAGATCCCCACCAGCAGCACCAACAGGCAACGCACAGCTTTTGCGAAGACAGTCAATAGCGCGACGCAAGGACGCAGGATATCGCGGGGAACCATCCTGATAACGCACAGCAGCAGTGGTAGTAGCCCCTCACGCCCTCGACGGATTATCTCGATGGTAGGTGTAATCTCTGGACTTTGGAAGGTGTGTTGTGGATAGTTCGTTTGTGAGAATCGGTCTGCTGTTGTGTTGGGACAGTCGGTTGTACCAACATCAACAAACACCCGCCAGGTTACACACGGCGCATGACTATACCCACGGCGCACAGGTCGTATAGGCCCGGCCCCTCCTGATCTTCATAGATAGCTGGTCCCGGATCAGCGTCCTGTGGTTCTCCTTCTTATGATGTGGTGTTGTCCTCCCGGGGTTTGAACTCTACGGCGTGTCTGTGTGTGTGCAATCTCCGATAGCTACCTCTCCACAACTCCTGGGCATCCGGGGATACGATCTCCTACGAATTTGGGTCACATAAGCCTGTGAAGCACGGCCATCTGTTGCCTAAGCACGACCAAACCACACGAAGAGCGCGAGATTTTTCTTCTTCCTCAGAAGTGAACAGATCGTCAAACGGTGCCCTATAGGTCTCGTTCTGGTCCGAAAGGTGCGACAAATATGCGTCACGGAAATCAAACTCTGGGCCCCTGCTACACGGGGCGGAACTCAGGCCGATATATCGAGTTTTTTTTTCCCTCCTGGGAGATGAAGGGAAAAAAGGTCGCGCTTCGCGCTCCGCGGCTTATTATAAACGAAGTTTCACGCCTGTTCGGAGAATATCCATGTAGCTCAAGACCCCTGTGCGAAACGTTATAGTCTAGTCCCGAGCGATTATGCGGCACTACATGGTGAACCACGGGGAGAAGCCATTAATCTCAGCCCTGAATTTTAGAGGGGCTTTAAAGTTGGGTTTTCATCTCTGATATCAACCACCTAATTGTTGTGGGTGGATCAACGAGATCAAGCGGACAACCGGTCTTGTCCTTTGAAAGCACGGCCATGCGTCCGTATACTCTTTGACAAATCCCGTGGTGCTATCGGCAACGCCCACCCACGGCACGATCTCGCCATCAGTCTACATACTTCAACATTGTAGGATCTCGTGTAACGACGGCTTCTCAGGCCCATGTTTATGGTTTCCAAATCTTTATCTTCCTTTCGTTGGACAAATGTTGATTTTTTCGACCTTTTGGGCAGTCTGCCTCCCGAACGAGTGCGAATCAGCTGTTCGACCTTTCGAGAATAGCCACAGCTTTGCCTGAGATGCATACAGACCGCCTACTTGTTTCGCCAGGGTCCACGTTAGAGTTTTTTTCCAGCAGAGCAAGATGTTGAAGATTCGGCCGAAAGGCCAACTCTGAGCAAATCTTGGGCCAAGATCTGTCCACAAGCTGGTGTTGAAAAAATCTTGCGTGCAAATTGCGCATCTTGAAAAAATCAAACCTGGGCCCTGGCGAAAANAGCTTTGCCTGAGATGCATACAGACCGCCTACTTGTTTCGCCAGGGTCCACGTTAGAGTTTTTTTCCAGCAGAGCAAGATGTTGAAGATTCGGCCGAAAGGCCAACTCTGAGCAAATCTTGGGCCAAGATCTGTCCACAAGCTGGTGTTGAAAAAATCTTGCGTGCAAATTGCGCATCTTGAAAAAATCAAACCTGGGCCCTGGCGAAAAATGCAGGCGATCTGTAGACATCTCAGCCAAAGCTGTGACTGTTCTCAAAGGTCGAACAGCTGATTCGCATTCGTTTGGGAGGCAGACTGCCCACGAGGTCGAAAAAGCCAACAGTTGTCCAAAGAAAGGAAGATAAAAGATTTGGAAACCATAAACATGGGCCTCAGGCCATTTTTTTGTGCAATTTGTCCGTATTTCTTCAAGCATAGATGACCCTCTCCGGCAAAAAATATTCAATCAAATTGGGCGAGAACGTGCGGCACAGACACTTCTCTTCCAAGTAGTGATGGGTTCCTCAGGGTTCAAGTATCGGTTGGCGTGAGTTTCAGGGGTGTGGTGTACATTGTTGCCTACGAGGCAAGTGCATCGAATGTGATATGGAGCAGGGAAAGCGCAGCCGTTTGCTCATCTGTACATAGCGCGTACTCTTGCGTCGTCTTCACAACGTGTACCCTCGTAATGCTTGGTTTTGCCGTGCTTTCTATCCATGCACAGGAAGTTTGGATGCGGAATGGTTACTGCTGTTGGCACAACATATGCCGCCCTACCGTGTAGACTAGAACTCGCCACCGGCCAACCAATGATATTTTTTGCCGCCACATGCAAGAACTGCATAGACGATCTATGGCGCGGAGATTCTTCGGGCGGGGGGTTAGGGTCGAGGGGCGATTCATGCGGAGCCAACTCTCCGGGGAGAACGTCCCTCACAATGCGTAGGTAGTGGTCCAGGCCGTGATGCGGGCCCATTCCCGACATGCATGTAGGGCAAAAAGCAACGACATGCCGCATCGAAATAGCAGGAACACTGGACACCACTCACGCACCTCACCGGTGTATTCGTTCAGGTACTTATGACACAGAAAGCACCGCAACTCCACCGATATCACGGCATCACACCACAGGAAGCTGGCAACGCTGCAAAACGCAATACCGCCCGCGCGCGGTGTGGTTTCGCGGAACTGTCATATGCGGCGTAATCGCCAACCAAATACAAGATGAAGCACAAGTCTTGGGAGTTGTAGGAAGATCCGGAAGCAGTGCTTTTTCTCTGAATACAGGGTTCCGGGGACGAAAACAAGACGTTGGAAGAGGGAAGGCGGGAGGGGTGCAGAGTTTCTCTCGCCACCGACAAGGGGAACAACACCTCTCGAACCGTTGCCGGGAACTGGCGCTTCCGATCATCACTACCGCGTTATTCCTTCGCCGTGCAATCGGACGAGTTTGAGGAGGTGAGAACCGCGCACGGTCTCGCTCGAGCAGCCAGGAATCGCTGACACACACTGGCTGACTTGGTGTCTGTTAACCCTGATGGTTCGCGCAGCTGCTACTACAGCACTAAAGCGGGCGCCTCTACTTGAGAAATCCGAGAAAGTCGTAGAAGCAGTGAGGACCTTGCTCCTTCCTCCCTATGTTCCCCTTCGCCGCTGTCCGTGCTTGTCTGGAGTCAGTTGTTTTCGCCTAGCGTGGGTTCCCCCTCTTGTTGCTCACCATGTTCAAGACCGTGGGCCGTGTGCCGTTTGCTTCGCGCGGACGTACCAGCCTCGTCAGATAGAGTAGAGCTGCGGACTTTGTGTGTTGAACAACCTCCGCGTCAGCGTTGTGGGCCAGCCAGTAGACGGGGGAGGGCGTAGTTACTGTCGAGTGTCAATCAATCGCGAAGTGCGTGCACCAGACACCACCATGCTGTGGCCTGGTTGTTGTGTCGTCTCTGCGTTGCACGTGGAGAGCACTGCCTCACGGGTGCGTCGTCCCTGTTCAACTGCCGTACACGTACACACCCGCACCTCTAGGAAAGACAGCATGCAATGTGCAGTTCGTTGTTATGAAGTCGCCAGTCTAGTCTACTACGTAGCCTTCTTGCAATAAAGCCTGCCGCGTTTGCATTCAACTAAGGCGGTCTGAGCATCAACCTTGGAGCCCTTTCTCTCGGCGCCGGTGACATGGCTGACAGCACATGACACACATTTCGCCATCGCCGCACCAAACTTTCCCACAAAGGCTGTTGAGTCACATCTGATTGTTGCACCTGAGTGGGGACCTCTCATGATCGACTTTCTGCTGTTGGGTGATGGTGCGGGCAATATACACAACAGCAGGCGGTTGATTGTTGCCCCTGGGTCGGGTCCTCTCATATGATGAGCACCTGCTGTCGGGTGACTGTGCGGGCAAATGTGAATACATACAAACGCGGCGGTATAGCTCCTCGAGGGATAAGATAACCTCCAGCGCCAATTTGCAACACGGCACGGCGGGAGCGTTTCAGCGAGTGCCCCATGTTTAAGGGCTTCGCGGGCATCTAACCGTCGGTGTGCGTCCGCTCGGTAGGAAAACTTCCCGGCGGTGCCTGCAAAGATCCCTGCGGAGAATGTAACCCCTCCTTGACACTGGAAACCCAACCGTTGCTCTTCTTCCACGACCTACTACTACTAGATAAGGGGGGGCAATGAGCCACGAGTGACGACTCAATACCTTGCAGTTGTCTATTTGCGATGCTGTGCAAGGTGCGAGACACTCTGCGTTCCAGATAGCAACGCAGCAACCCAGTACGCGCAATCAGGTCAAGCAGTACTTACTTGTGGCATAACATTCGAACAGATCTTCCACGACCTCGTACCCGCTCCCGCTGGAAGGTATGTTGACAATAATTTACTCCCTGCTACCCAAATCAACAATGTTAGTGTGCGCATTCCTTCTACGGCGTTCACACCCCCTTACCCCCCGCGTTTTTTCCAAAACTGAATCAGCAGCAGCAGCAGCGGCTAGAGCGAGAAAAAAACAGCCCCCCCTTCACGGCAACAACGAAGGAGGGCCGAAGAAGACACCATGTACGCTCTTCATAGAGGCGGCGCCGTCGCGGCCACAGCCAGCGCGGCGGCGAAGAACGCCTCGTCCTCGAGGTTGCCGCTATCGCAGGTCGCCATGACACGGAGGGCGCTCTGCCTCGCTCGTCTCCATCCCTCAACGGGGCCGGGGGCTTCAGAGGCGATGCGCAGAGTTAGGGCCGAGGCAGCAGCAGGGGGAGCGCGGCGCCGCGCGGCAGGGGTGCGCGTGGCGCCGGTGTGGAGCCGCAGCGCTAGAGGGATGGGGTCGTGGACGCCGGCTCCGGGCTCCCCGCAGGAGCGTTTTGGGTCGGTGGTGGTCGGTGAGCTTGTTGTCCTTGCCTTGTCGTTGGTCTTCACGTTAAACGCCGTTCCGGCCTCCGCTCGGTACCTGCTACAACAACATCCGTGGGGCCAACTGACGAGGGCTGGTGCTTTTTCTTGTTTTGCAACAGACAGGTGTTGTGTCGATGGTTTTTGCATCCGCCGTTCTCTTGATACGCATACAAGGTTGGACGGTACCAGCGTACGTTTGGGTTCAGGGAGAGACGACCGGCCCCCTTGGTTGTGCCAACGCTGGTCCATCTAAGTCCGACGCGGCTCCTTTCTCTTTCCCCCGCCTCACTCTTCGTCCGTTTCTCGTCCTTACCATAGCCCCATATTTGCCCCCTGCCGCTCCCTTCGTCTGTCCTCCTCCCCCTATCCTAAACGTCCGATATCGTCATTCATCTGCTAACCTAGGCCCTTACTCGGAGGAAAAAAACTCCTCGCACCGTCGCGTGTTTTCCCGTCTCTTCTTACCCTGCCTTGCCGCCAACAACTTTATCATCCATGTCATCGTGAATCAGACGCCGCGTTGAGCATGCGAGAGTCCCTCGAGGCCAAGCAGCTCATCTGGGCTCAAAAGATCCCCAAGGGCTTCGACAATTTCTTCCCCAAGGGCGGGGGCGGCGGCGCATCCCCCTCCAAAGAAGGGCAGGTGAGAGATAGAACGGCGGTTTGACGTCATCTGAGATTAGGCTGCCGTTTGCGCGATGAAAGGTCATTGTTATACTCGGTGAGCTTTCAGTAGGTTGTGGGTGGCTGCAAATGCCATTTTTGGTGCATTGTCTTTGTTGTCCCTGCCGCAGGAGAATGATGCAGCCAAGAGAAGTTGTGGCTAGGCCCCGTTCATCTCGCCATATTTGGGTGCGAACACGCACGTGGCTTGGACGGCTCTCGTCCCTTTGTTGGATCTTGCAATCTAACACAGTTTTTTCTAGGCCTCCCTCCGGAGTGGGGTTGAGAGAGTACTGCGGCAAGGGGTGATGCAAGAATATGCAACAGCACACAGGGGAAAAACAGATGCTGTACATGTGACCTAACCTCACAGATCTTACTGTTGGAAATTAGCTGCAAGAACTGCCCCGCGAACATTTTGTTTCGCCGATAGGCAGATCTCTTGAGCGCATCCGACCCTCGCACCTAGAGCTCACTCATCTCGGCGCCTCTGCACACCTGAGACTCGCTACACCCAGCCAGAGAGCTAACTGCCACACCAAGTATGGTGATCTTACAACGTAAAACCTGTCAGCCGTGGTGTCATCTCCTTGTTGCCCCATGCTGATAGGTCGATGAACATAAGGGATGTCTATTTTTCTGGATTTTTATTGGTTGAAACCCCGCATGCCCTACGTAATGTCTAGGTATGTGCATGCGCACGTACACCGCAATGCCAACGCCGGTCCCAACCTGAGGCCCGGCGGTCATTGTTCTGCACCTCTGCTGACACCGACCCGACATGGCTCGACCGCTGGAAACTACATGTTTCTGCTTTCTGATTGCAGCTAGTGCAGCTGTGCACATACAATGCTGACGTGTGTGCTTGCTTCTTGACATAGTGTTTGACGGTGACGTACGTACATGGTCTTACATTACAGCCCAAAGAATTTTCTGGAGATTCTGGGGAAGCATTCACAAATCAGTATATTGTCTTGTATCTTGGTGTCAGACGACATCGCTAGGGCAACACAGCCTCTTGCATGAAGGGGCTACATACCCCACCCTCACCGCACCCCACCCTACCCTCCCCAAAGACGCACCAGTCCTATTCGGTAGTTTTGCCGTCGAATGCCCTCCTATATTAATGCTCCGTCCTCTCGAGGACGCGTGGCCAAATGTTCTAACCGCTATGGCATGCCAATCATGAGTACGTCGGTTAAGATCACACCTGGTATTTTTGCTAAACAAAAGTGTCCTTAAGATTGACACCCCTCATCTCGTTGTTCATTCTGCGAGCCACCATGCCAGTGAAAAAAAAGAACGGTGTTCGCTACCGAGGGAGTTCCCTCGCTTTTGGTGTCCTTAAGCGAGGCACGACTATACTCCCTTTGTCACCCACATGCCTCACTGCTGTCCGTACCCGCATGTCAAAAACATCTCGTTCAGGGTAACGCCTTCCCGGACACAAGCGGGGCGAAGGAAGACGCCGACTCTTCCGCGGGCAAGGAAGGCAGCGAGGCATCCACCAAGGCTTCGGGCCAGAAGAAGGGGAAGGGGGGTGGAGCGGGCGGAGGGAGCGGTGGCGACAAGAGGACGCCCGGAGGACAGGAGATGGTGAGTTTTGTTGTTTTTTGTGTAGATTGAGACCGTTTTCCTTGGTTGTTGGAAAGGGCAGTGTTGTTTGAGCGTGTAAATAGAGGCCGTTTTCGTGTTTGCTGAGAAGAGCATGTGCTGTTTTGAGGGTGTAGATAAGAGGCCGTTTGTTGGAAATGGGAAGGGAGGAGAGATCGTGATGACAAGCGAGGTGTTCGGGTTCGTCGTGCATACTGTAGCTACTCCCGGCAGGCTGAGAAAAGAGAGGGGTCGTCTCGTGCGCCCTGAGTTTGCTCGATGGCAGTGCTCGATGGCAGTGTTGACTCCGTAGCCGAAGCGTCGGTTGAGGATGCTCGACTGTGGAACCAGGCAGTTCAGCTGTTGTGGGCATCTCCCCCCCCCCCCCCCCCCCCCCCCCCCCCCCCCCCCCCCCCCCCCC